CTAGTTTTTATTGTCTGATACATGGACACCCCTGCTTGGGATCAAGGCCAATGGGTGGCTTTTAAATCTTGTTGCAAATATTCGTATTCACTAGTGATGTTTTAAGTGAACAATTCCCTGATGATTTTGGCATGTGCACAATGTATTGCAGAATTTGATAGTAAAAAAACAACACTATCAGCTGTTTTGTTGGAACTTTCATATAGACTTGCTGATAATTTGCCATGTACATTGTATTCCTATCAATAGTAATGCATGTTGTCACTATCATCAGTAATTTAACATTACTGCATATGGAGATAATTCAAAGTCAAAGCCACCCCCAAGCAGTAGGTTTTCAAATTTGCCTGCAGCTCCGTCAAAAAATTTGTTTTGAAGGAATAAACGCTTCTCCAAGGGAATGGCTTGTATGCCACTTTCGGTCATTTCAGTTTATTGGAATTGTGAAGCCTTCATGCTGTCAACTATGAATGTGAAAAAAATCATTGTGATGAAACTGGCTGTACAATAAAATTAAAAGATGGTGAAGATCATCTGATATATTTTGGTGTCCACTTTTGACATAACAGGATAAAAAGTTGGTAGAGTTTGTATAAAATATTCAAATAGTGTCCATTACCAGAATAGTTGTGACTAAAAACTTTCCTAAATTTTCAAATTATGTGATTTATTAATACAGAAAAAAGTTTTGTCATACTGTGTATTTCATACCCTGCTCGCCATCCTCTCACAAATTTAAGTGAAAATATTTATAAATAATATCACATACAAAAATATCCACAACTTGGCCAGAGAGTCTGTTAATACTTGCTTTTTTGTTGTGCTTTAAATACCGAAATGGGTGTTGGGAAGGGGGGACAAGAATACATCTTACTAAATCATTTTCCACTTGTCAACACATTTCAGATATCGGAAATGATGTTTTACCTAAAACATTTGTGACAATGAAAATAAATTCACGATGTATGCAAGCCAAAAAAAAGAGCAGCCAACTGAAAGGACACTGTGCAAACACTGGTTTCTTTTCTGGTTTACACATCAAAACATACTGTGCAATTTCCATGCAGAGTAACAACAAGAATGTCCATGTAATTGTACATCACTGGATAATAGTCGTGATTCAGTATCTGGTAGCTAACACATCTC